CCACATTTGGAGTATTGTGTTCAGCCTTGGGCTCCTTAACTTAGGAAAGACATTAAATTGTTGGAAAAGGTTTAGAGAAGGTTACTAGAATGGTGCCAGGGATGGAGGAATTGTCATACGAGAAGAGGTTGAAATCTCTCAAATTATTTTCTCATGAAAAAAGAAGAGTTAGGGTGGATCTGATTGAGGTGTTTAAGATTGTAACGGGAATTGATAGTGTTGATGCATCATCTTTTTTTTTTCATATTTAAGAGTAAGAATAGTAGGACTAGGGGGACACAAATATAAACTTGGGCAAGATAGGAGTCATCTTCAGCTAAGACAGTTTCATTTTTCTAACAGGGTGGTTGACCTTTGTAATGGGTTACCTTCGGATGTTGTAGAAGCAGTAAATTTAAGTGAGTTTAAAAAAAAGCTTGATTAGGGCTGGCTTTAAGATTTTTTAAAACTATTTTAATTTAGTTTATAGGATGGAACAGCCGAGATGGACCAATAGGTCCCATGTTGTCCAAAAACATTATGTTAAGTTCTTAAAACTTATACTTTAGCAGTTATCTATTAATTATTATTAGTTACTAGTGGATGCAATTATTGTTCCACTATGGTCTCAAAACTTTAATAGGAAATTTTTATTTTTTTATTTTTGCTATTAGTAAATTAGTTGTTTTTGTTTTGTTTTTTCAGTTCAATGTCCAGTTGGAACATATTTCAATGTGGTATCTGAAAACTGTGAAGCTTGTATGCAAGGAACTTACCAGTTTAAAGAGGGCCAGTTGTCATGTGTTGTGTGCCCTGAAAGAACTTCCACAGAAACAGATCAATCTAAAAGTCTAGGAGAGTGTAAAGGTGAAATACATGGCTGTTGTAGTTGTTCTTATTTTGAGACATAACATCAATAAAACATAGTGAATGCAAACACACATAATACTTTTACCCTCTTCCAGTCTGATCAAATTATTGAATATTTGTTGTCATGCACCAGTAAGCTGCACAGTAGTTTTTTTATTTGAACATATGGTATATATATGTTTATTTATCAGTTTTAATTAAAAGTATTTAGTACATTCAGCATCAATGTCATGGATAAGTAGACAGAAGTTAAACAAAGGCATAATCTTTCTGTAGACTGTTTATGCAAACACATAAGAGCAAATATAAAAATAGAAATTGGAATATGAAAGTAGAAGGAAAGATGATATATTTCAGAATAAAAACTGATCAAGAAGCAGACAGTTACACGTGACTTAGAGTTCAAAATAAGGATAGTACAACAGTTGTTTTATTGTAAATGATAAAGGAAAGCTAAAAGGGACAATTCTTTGTTTGAAGGAAACAATAATACTAAAAATATTAATATTTAAACATGTATCTTCCAATGACCATTGGCTACCTTAAGAAAGCTAACAACTTCCATAGAAAAATAACCAGATTTTAAATAATTTTTCTAGTCCAGAGTATATCTTGATGAGTTATAATCTATGTGTGTATATATGTCTAAATTTTCATAAAAACATGTTAATGAAATCAAATAGGTATGTGCAGTGTTTTATTAAATTTTTATATGTTAACTGTATGGGTATAGAATTTGCTAAGCTATTAGTTATTAAAAACTGGGTAAAACAGTCATCCATTTATTAATGTTAAATATGGTTCCTCTGAAGCTTTTACAAAACAAAATGCATTATAAAATTTATATAATGAAAGTTTAAATACCCTTGATATATTCAGATCACAACTGTGTGTGCAAAGACTTTGAATAAAAAGAAAAGTGACTCCTTTATTTGACACAGCCCAATGTTTACCTGGCAGTTTCTCATTAACGGGACTAGAAGTGTGTGAGACCTGTCCCTTAGGTTTCTACCAACCCAAGTATGCCCAAATGCATTGCATTCCTTGTCCTAATGACACAACTACTTGGCGTAGAGGAGCAAGAAAACAAGAAGAATGTAAAGGTCAGATATGTAACATTTGATATACTAGATACAAGAAAACAGAATCTGTGTGTAATATTTTATTTTCTCATCCGAATTAAGAATAACATTTAGTAGAAAGGAATTGTTTAATGTCATTCATTATCAGTCCAAAAGAATTACTCTTATAAACAAAAGCATTGATTAACCTAAAATAATTTCATACTAATAAGCTATCCATATACAAACACCACTTTGTATTAATAAGAAAATAAAATGCACATGAAAAATACAATTACAGCTAGTTACATGTTCTACAACTCTAATTAAAAAGCAACTTAAATATATGACAACTAAACATGAAATTGATTTATGTTCATAGGAAAAGGGGGTATAAAATGTGACAAGGTATATTAGAAAGGACATTAAAAATAAATGATGGTGTAAATTTTTATTAAAAAGTGATATCCTGTTTTTAGGTTCCATACGGTTATTAATATTGCTTCCCAAGTTTCACCTATTTGTTAGTATCATAAGTTATTATATTTACTACTTGTTGCATTCTCAAATTTTAATTTTCAGTGATTCTTATCTAGCAAAGTATTACTGATCTTTAAAGAAGTCAAATATTTTTATATATTTTAGATATTTAAATAAAAGTTCTCTTTAATTTATCTGGAGTTTAAAGGTTATTTTTTTTCCTAACTTAGATATTAAAAATCGTTAAACATACTGAAATACCAAATTTAAATGGAATGTATTCATGCCTTTATAATCATTAAACTGTAAATGTACAATATAAATTCTTTAGAGTTTTGTAAGTGTATAAAATAATCAGGAAAAGGAAAAAGTTTTGTACCTGTATGCGCTATGACAGCGTTTCCCAAACTTTTCCAACTAGGGACCGGTTTATTTTTGTAATTTTTCATGAGGCCCGGCCTTCTCTAATACCTAATTAGATAACCTGCTAAGACATGGCTAAGGCTTAACACCAAGCTGGAAGCAATAGTTCTGTCTATCAATACATCATCATTTATAAAATATACAGGTGTTTTATAGTACTACTGTGTAAAAAGAAATTATACTTCATTGTTATTTAATCTTTACATTAACTGTATATTTATTAATTTTCTTTCATGAAATAAACTTACCTAATGAGAGGGATGATGCTGTTTTTCATCACACAGCAACTTCAAGTTCAAATCAGGAGGAAAAGAAGTCATTTTGATCCTCAAATCTTGCTCAACATCTAATCTGTTCCTGTACTTGTTTTTTAAGAAAACCAACATTGAGAAGCCTGATTTGCATTTATAAGTTGGGACAAAGGGCATAAGAAATCTAACTGTTTTTCTGATAAATTTGGATACTCAGTATGACAGCTCAGCCAAAAATTAATTAACGAGACATGACTCATTCAGTGCGGTGTCACAGGACAGTTCAATAATAGAATCAATTTCTGATTCACTGAGTTGTAATCCTCCCTCATTTTCCATGTCAGCAGTAAAAAGGTTGCTGATCTACATTTTACCACTTTCAATTGGAGGAAAATATTCTTTAAAGCATGATTCTAGCCACAAAAGATGCTCTTTGATTGATGAGGAAATCT